CACACACACACACACACACACACACACACTCACATACACACAACAATCAGGCATTGTTCTGAGGGAAGAAAAGCAACTTTGACAGATTGAAATATAGCAGAGGCCCCTTCAAGGAAACCTGTAAACAACTTGTCACTCACTCTGTCGGTCTCACTGTTAGCTCGTGCTTTCCACAAAGTGGTGCGAACGTCCTGGCAACCCAACCAAAGTTTCCTCAGCTCCAAACTCCATAAAACACGATGTGCGATGTGGAGGGGAATAGGTATCCACATGCCAAAATAATACACACACGAGGGAACAAAAACCCAAACCACACCAGAAAGATGGTACCAACAAACTGTCCTGTCCCGGATTGCTGGGGAGGTCAGAGGTAGGAAGCGCTCCCCTGGCTGTGGGTCTCTTTAATTTCCTCTGCCCAGGCAGCCACAGATAACAAGGTGGACAAACTATGGCTTTACAGATCCTAAGCTGGCTGGCAAGGCACAGCCTCCATAGCAGTTCCAATTATCTAGATAAAAATCTGGCAGGCGAGGAAGGTAATCAGGTAATGTACCTTTGACATGAAATGACAGAGGCACATACACACACAGAGAAAGACACTTACACAGACACGCATGCAGAGATGGTGGCTGCCCCGCGCACCGCAGCATCTGGTCAGGGAGTGAGCACACACTCACCAACACGAGATAGTGTGCATTCTTCACACACACACACACACACACACACACACACACACACACACACTCAGTCACTCACACACGCTCTCCACTCCTACTGGGAGGGTTCATTCTGCACAAAAGGCTACATTACAGAGCCCGCCCCAATAAGGGAAAGAGAGAAAAAAAAGCCTTCCATTGTTGAGAGGGCAGGTCAGTTGATTAGATTTTCTGTGGAGAATTCCACGAGGAAATTCCCTTCAAAGCCGAAGTGATTAACTGGGGGCTATTCTGGAAATGGAGCAGACAATGGCTCAATAGTCTGCACAGCCAATGTCCAGGCTGGCACTGAACTCACTTTAAAAAAAAATAAAAGCCAGACTCCCTGTTCTTTTCCACACATTCCCCCCCAACCCCCTCCACTCCTTCCAACTTCCCCTCCCAATTCCTTTTATTTTGCAGCTGGACAACATTAAGGGCCTTTAAAACCACAAGGGTTGACCCCATAGCAGTTTGATTAGGTCCCACTTTTTTTTTTTCTGGCGACAGGCAGACAGTAAGTTTACTTTTTTAGACATAGACACCTTACACATATTCCAAACAGAAAAACCAGTTATTAACCTTCTCATATTAATAAATGTATTCTTCATTGAAAGCTTATACATTTTTTGACAAAGTTGATAATGACTTAATAACAGGACCCATCATTCACAGGATATCCTAAAAATAAATGTATACATACAACAAAACCAATGTGGAATAAGATTTAAGCATGTCACTATGGAGTTAAGATACTAACAAAACACAGAATGATGACCCACCCTGAAAAAGCTGTTAACAAGGGATGTGGCAAAAATGACTTGATGCTGACATGATTTTCTTTTTCAGCAGTTGGGGAAGGGGGAAGGATATTACTCACTATTCTTGTCATTAGCCTCAAATTATTTTTTTCATTACAACAACAACCCATTCCTACATAGCAACATAAGTGAATTGTTGCATTTATTTTAAATACCTATTTTTTATTTAAGACCTTATGGGACCTACAATCTAATATGGTCTAATTGATAAAGTATACAAGAAATAATTTTGTATATTGTTAACAGTGGTTATGGGAACTAGGGAACGGTAGCTGCATGGCTGCGCACACTTTAAAAAATAGTTTTTAAAAGATTTCCTAATTAGGGTATCTTGTTTCATCTAATATCAATAGAGAAAAATGAAGAAGGAGGGAGGGTGAGTTCCTAGGGGCAATGGGAGACGAGATCAGGAAGAGGAGGAGGCAGCAAGGAGAGGATGCAGGGAGAGCACAAGGAGGAGACATAGTGGCAGCATAAAGATAGAAACAAAGATAATGGCCATAAGGCAGGATGCTGAGATCCGTATGGTCCCAGCTGCTGTCTTGCTACAGCTACTACCTCTGGTTGTTTCTCTGAAACTCTAATCCAGAAGGTCACCAGAGCAGGTAAAAAAGCGAGTATGAGTTTCTGAGGCCAACTTTACTAGAAAGGAAAAATGCTCATATCAGAATCTTCCTTGCCTTTGGTTTTATTTTCATAGACACTTGATCTATGTATTGGTATATTGTACATACAATATATGTATTGTATACATAGGTATACATATGTGAAATAAACACAAAGAACATATAGGAAAATGTTAAATGGTTTGGAAGTTAGTTTACAATCTCAACATGTTTCTATAAACATCCCTATAGCCTTTCCAAAACAAATTATTTCTTGCACAATCATCCCTGCTAAGCAAACTGAAACAGACTAGGAACTAGACAGAAAATCTGCCCAATATAATAATGATTATTCTAATAATGATACTTTGAATTAATGGAACTCCAAGCTCATAAGGAATTTTATTCACATAGATTAGCTCATGGATCAGAAAAGAGTGAGTACTGGTCTATCCTTCTTTCCCAGGGTTTAAACTTGGGCAAGAGGAATTTAAAGTCATACAACTAATTAGTGGCCCATTTGTTACTTGAAACCAGATCTTATTTCACTTGTGACACCATAATACAGAATAAAATAACAATCCAGAATTTATAGCTGAATGAAAATCCCAAGATAGTACTTACTTTTAACAGACCTAAAGGCTTTCAAATAATTGTTAATAAGATTCAATTTGATATAATCTCATTGGCACTAAGCTGGTGCTGTATTTGATGGTTGAATGGAATAAATATTTTAAATGTATCTCTCTAGGCCGTAAAAGTTTTCTCTCGTTTGAGTTCTCTATTGCAAATTAACATTTCTGCAAGACTTTAGGATGTCAGCAAAAGAGAAGGCAATTCTAAAATGTTCTTCTCAAATCCTGTTATTGATAATATTATAAAATGATTCAATTGATCCAATGAATCCAATATTTAATAGTAAATTACTATTATAAATACTTTTATTTTATATTCAATGTTAAAATGTGTAAATATTAAATATGTGTTAATGACTAGCACAATATATGTGTTAAATAAATTTATATGCTTTATCAATTGCCTGAAAAGTTTAAGATATTCAATTTGTTATATATCTGATATTCTCACCCAATGTGGGGCTTGAATTTAGGACCCCCAGATTAAGAGTTGCATGCTATTCCAACTGAGCTACGCAGGCACCCCCAGGGAAGTACTACAGCTTTATTTTTTATTATTTTTTTTCAACGTTTATTTATTTTTGGGACAGAGAGAGACAGAGCATGAACGGGGGAGGGGCAGAGAGAGAGGGAGACACAGAATCGGAAACAGGCTCCAGGCTCTGAGCCACCAGCCCAGAGCCTGACGCGGGGCTCGAACTCATGGACCGCGAGATCGTGACCTGGCTGAAGTTGGAGGCTCAACCGACTGCGCCACCCAGGCGCCCCAGTACTACAGCTTTAAAAGGAGAATTCAAGAAAAATTTGTAACAAATCTAACTATATATATGACTAAAATTCAAATTGTTTCATATCTAAGCCATCTAGGATAAACACGGTAAGAAAAGTTAAAACCAAAATAAATAAGCAAATGATCAGAAAGCACTAATGATAACTGAATAATAATTAAATTGGTAGGAAATATAAAAATGTCTACAAACAAAGGTACACAAACAGAAATACATCTTCAGAGCAGGAGAGAGCACAAACTACAATAGAAACTCCATAAAACAATTTTTCACTTAATGAGTCTCTTTGACACTGCTGAAACAGTATTCTGGAGAATGGACTGAACTTGAAAAGTGTGCTTTTGAGTTCATGTTGTTTCCATTGCAAATATAAAAAGGAGACTCACACAGGCTAAGGAAATACAAGATATGCTCGGGAACACTATTGGAAAATTCTCAAAGAGAATATCAGGAACTTTAAAGATCATAGACAAGTTATTTCCAAACTTAACCCTTTCCAGACAATGTTTCAAGCAAGCATTTCTAATATTTTTCTTCTAATTTTATTTTATCTGATTTTCTTTTTTAATGTTTATTTATTTTTTGAGAGAGATTGAGAGAGACAGAGACAGAGAGACAGAGGCAGAGAAGAAGCAGGGAAGGGGCAGAGAGAGAGAGGGAGACATAGAATCCAAAGCAAGCTCCAGGCTCGGAGCTGTCAGTGCAGAGTCAGATGTGGGGCTCAAATCCACGAACTGTGAGATCATGACCTGAGCTGAAGTCAGATGCTTAACCGACTAAGCCACCCAGGTGCCCCTTTATCTTCTAATCTTAAAAGGAACTGTTTAATTCCTCTACTTTAAGATATAATTGTTACACACCTTCTACTTTAATAACTGAAATTGCAATATGTTGTCACGGGTACAGATTACATTTTGATATTTTATGAATGTTCCTACCATCAAGCTACAGCTTTCACATTTTATGGAATTTGGAAGGTTATTTTTGAGAAATAAAACTTTTAGTATTATAACCACAATAAATTTAAAGCAAATCAGTGTCAGACAATACCAACATTTGACACAAGAGGCTTTAAGAAAATGTACATCTATTTTTTCCCCCACGATGTTATTTACTTCATCACAAAAACATTTGAAAAGAACCCACTCTCTTAAAAAAAAAAAAAAAAAAAAAAAAAAAAAAAAAAAAAAAAAAGAAACACAAAACTTTCAACCAATGTATATCTGTGAGTCATTCACCAAACGCCTGATAAGCTCACCATGACCTATCTATCACGTGTGGCTTCAAACTGACTTAGAGTCTTGTAATTGGACCTCTTCAGAAAACAACTAAGAAATTCAATAGCTCATGGTTTTAAAAATACCTAAACTTTCTATTTCCCATAATGCATTTTTTTGCCAGGAAATCGGCATATAATAAGAGGTTATAAATTCAAGGTTTTTGTACCCTCATACTTTCTGTATTGCCATTTGGTTAGTTAGAATATGAATTTTCCTCAGATCACGTTTTTGACCAACTAGTGTTCTTTAAGTGTTCCTTTTCACTTTAGAAACTCCATTGTCAGCCTTGTCTCAAAGACCTGATGCCATTCCCAGTCATAGTTCCCACTGATTGATATCTTACTATTTATCTCCTTTAGAATAATTTAAAGTGACAAAATGATAAATTTTATTTTTTTGAGAACTTTCTATCATAACTGTGAAACATATAAAACAAATTATTTCGGGG